CTGCTGGGCATGCGTCCATGTATGACGCTCATTATAAGACCTCACCTGTGCACAGTAACACAATCCAATGGCTAATCACGGTGGTTCAAACCCATAACCATGCGCGATATAGCTTGTATATACTACGTATGGTAAATACCAGGCCAGTATCCATGCGGACCAGTAAAAACAAGGCCTCAATTAACCGTGATAGGCTAATCTGATGACCGGTCATACTCATTGCCGTACTCGACGTCACCTTACGGGGCTACTGATCGTACCTGCTAGTTTCGTTTCCATGTGTGGCGTTGAGTAACCGGTAACTTAATCCAACCTAATCTGTCGTACTCGTAAGTGAACACGTTGTCGCTTATCTTTACTACCCATGACAAACATCGGGATAGCATTTATGCGAACCAATGAATACGAGGCCTAGACCATGCATGCATACCTAACTTAACGGCAAACGACGGACCCCGTACTCACAACTGTACAGGATATCGCCTACCTTGACTACGTATTGAAATTGTTAGCCCAGTGTCAACGTGCGACGCTGATTATTAGGCCTTACCTATCCGCAGTGCCCTAACTTAACCGCCAACGATGGCCCGTCATGCCCATAACCGTATGTGCTCTCGCTTATGTCTGTTACCTATATCATCATCATTTAGAGCATGACAGCGTTGTTCATCATCGATCTTCACCGCTGAACCTGCCTGCTACGTACAGTAAACACCAAGCGGGCCGACAGAAACCAGCTTCTAATTATGCATGACATCTAAATTTAATGGCCAACGGCGGCCTGCAATACTCGTAACTGTAGTCGATATCGTCTACCTTGGCTACTTATCGTAATTGCAAGGCCTGTGTCTATGTGCAACGCTGAGCATAAAGCTTCAACTGGGCCCAGTAACCCAGTTTACTGGCCAACGACGGCCCGTCATTCTCAGGACTACCAACTGCAGTTTCATATCCATACGTCGTCCACCTACCAACACTCCATGCCTGAAAAATACACAACCACCATTAAAAATCATGTTTCTCTTTATCAGTTGCATCGGTACAAACACAATGTGTGATCGATCCAGTTAACATTTTTTCACTCGATAGGCTTTCTGATAAAATGTGCAGTTGCGACTTGTACACACCCTCCGTGATATCGTTCAAAACACAATTAAACAAAATTTAAAAAGGCTACATCACCAAGTGCTTAATAAATCTTTTTGTCCAAAATTACCTGTCGGTGCCCGCGCTGAACCTGGAGCCTAGGTATTATAAAGGTAAACTCACTACTTCCTTAACCAGTCCAGTTGGCTATAACGAGGGAGCCTTGTGTACATTGATGGTTCGACAGCGGGCTTTGGTAACCATATGAGTTATTGTGCGCGGCGAAGTTAGAGCTGAAAGATTTTTCAAAACCGACCCACACGAGCCATGGCTTTGAGACAACCGTTTTCAAATACCCGAAAACGCCTTGGTTCCGCCTCTCAGCCATACAACGTAACATCTCGTACTGCAGCCTGATACAAACGTTACTTGATATTCACCGACATCTCACGTTGACAACATAGGTGCTTCGAATTAGAGACCTCGACCGGAGCACTGCAGATTCGTACATTGACCTCATCTGCACACTACAATCAGAACTAATACAACTGCGAATATATGTAAAACACTGTACCACACTACCTCTCCAACCGGACCAGAAAACACCTGCGATCTCACACAAGCTTTCTTCTACCTCTGAGGATTACCCCGGCCAACCAAAAATATCCTCCTCCTCACACAACTGCACATCCAAGCCAAATCATTTCAAAAAATGACGTCCGTTACGGGGCCGTCCAGAAACAGAGGTTTTCCAGTGCAATGATGGCATGGCACTACTATATCCACACTCGCGATTACGCACTTCCCTCTCTTGACTTTACCCAATTGCCCACTTGTTCCGTTAAAAGCAACTACGAACAAACTCACGTTTTATTCTGACTGTAATCTTCTGATCATGCGTGACGGTACGCCACCAACCTGTTGGAATAGGCATCATTACGATAACGTGACACCGTGGGCACAAAGTACACACCAAACGACAACACGATTATCATCATCACCGATAGAAGAGCAAGAGATGCTAATAGAGACTCACAAAATACACATACGACGTCTCAGACGCAACGGGTTTTGCAGGGCTCCACACTTTTCTTTCGGCTGACAGTTCCATCCTGAAGTTACCTCGTCGCACAAAAGCGCCGCAACACCCGATATCTCTGATCTTATGTCTCCGCAAGCTCTGAACTATCTTTATTGCGTACAATCTGGTCAATGCATGTCTCTCATAACCACATATGCTAACTATAGCTCGCATCGGTCGCATACCTGAATATCGATTATCACTTTCAAACCGAGCAGTGTCATACCATTGAAGCAGTTAGGAATTGCCTGCCTATTATTATTGCATGGCATTATAACTCACATCAAATTGCTTTCTAGCAAACCTTTTGGATGTTTATTTTATTCTGAGTCCCAAATATAGGCATGTCCGGGTTGTTACCTCGCTTGAGTGGCAGGAATGACCACCACAAACCCCGATAGACCCAAGACTATCTTAACCACAATGACCACCATGAACGGCTCATCCAAGATGTCCATGTACGGGGCTATCCATGAACCTGGGTATGGCGCCGCAACTACCATACCCAGTCTGATGGCTCGCCCGTACTTCACTGTATCTCAAATATAATTTAATCAATTTATCATTTATTTTTTAAGATCATGGTCACAAACATAAAAAGTGAACGCAAGTGAAAAATGCGGAAGGATAACTGGAGAATATGGTAGAACAGAGAGCAACGTCTCATCCGAATTCATGCCGCCCACCGTTCCAGTCAAATGAGATGAATCCCAACGTATGTAAGCAGGTTGATATGGAAGCACGCATCTAATGACCAACAACTGAAGAAAGGAAAAACAATGTTGAATGCTCTTCAAGGCGCGGCAAGCGCTAGCGCAATCAAGACTCACACATCAGGCACAAGACTATAGTGTTACCTACAAGACCGGTTGTCTATGACGAATTCCTTGGCTTCGGTGGGACGCTTGCCGCAGCCATGGAAGAATTTTCCATATCTAGGTCGCGAATGGCCTCTCCAGTTTAAGTTTGCGTCGACATCATTGACGTGATTATTGTTTACCTCGTTTTGAGATTATTTCCAAATCCAATGCGTAAGGAAACACGCGAAATAAACGAGGATTTCCAAAAAATTTACACCGTATTTACAGAGAAAGCTCTCACAGCCATTAAACTACAAATTCCGTGCCCAAAGTCGACTCCGAGTTCGTTCAAACAAATTCTAATAAAACTGCAGCGACGTGGGAGAGCTTAAGGGCCCGGATAATTACCATCAAATGCAAAAACATTATGTTAAAGCTTTCTTTTTCGAACCGCGGTTTCAGGGGAATTTTGGGTGTGCGTCAGGGACGCGGCTTCGGGGAGCCTCTTGTTTTACCCTCCCTTGTTTTGCCCGCCACCCTCAAATCCTAATGATCAGAGCTTGCTCGATGGTCGCTCGGTATTTGCACAATGGAATTTAATTTTCGAAAGCTACGACGTGCCTCTTTGGGCGAAAAGAGACAGGATATTGATTTCAGAGTATGAGTCCAGCCTTGCGAGCCCAATCTTGCTATCACGGGATATCACCGATGCTAGGAAAGTATTCCACCAGACCTTTTCCTCCAAAGGTATAATTGCCTCAGTGGACAACGAAATGTGGTGAGCTGCAAGGATACGAACGTAGGTTGGGGTGGTTTTTGGTGTGAGCATGTATGCGACAAAATGCAACAGTTTGAAGCAAAATGTTTCATTCCATTTGCGAAACTTTTGCAGCCAAGAGCTTTGTGCAATTAATGGGTAACTGCTTAATGTTCTCTCCAAAAAGTATGGTAACTTTGATGTTCTGTTCGTGCCGGTTTAGTGGTGACCACGTCTGCTTGGATAAAGTCCATCGACTATAACGACGTACCCACGATCCCCGCCAGTCGTGCTTTTCTTCTGACTGATCATGGTATTCACGAGTCGGGAATAAACACTATTATTATTAAAATCCATCAGAACAACCTGTTCGATGGTGTGCCACGAATGACACTTCTATGACCCCATGCCCCAATGGGCACAAGCATAACATCGTGCTGCGCTTTTCTTGACAAGTAGCTCACAAGAACGCCCCAACTCGTTTGTCCGTGGTGAATGCGCCCTGAACATTTCCCATTCTAGTCCTGTTTGCCCAATAGTAGCTGTCCTTTTATTTACCCCTCCCCAAACTATCTGTCTTCTTCAGGGGCTGTTTGCTGAGAAGTCTTAATCCTCACCGATTTTACGTACCCTCCGATCAAAGTATATCGGCTGTTTTAAAACCACTCGAGCATTATATCTCATGTTTTTCCTTTCGGTTATGAACGCCGAATTGTACATTTGCATGTTTTTCATAAGAAGAGGCCACTTTTGCTATAAGTGAAGCGGTGGAATTCATCCCCTTAGCCAGCTGCGCCAAAAAGTGCCGGCATAGAATAAGTATGCCTCCACCGCTGAAAGTGTAGTTGTTGTATCCCAAGATTTCCATTATGACGCCGGTTAACGTCAGGTTTCTCATTCTCCGTTTTCGATGCGATTTTCGGCCTTTCCTTTTTGTCTAGGTTTGTGGTCTTTCTCAGGCGCATCAGTACTGGCTCTGAAGGTCGTCGAGGCGCATATACGCTAAGCATCTCATGGATTTACCCAGCAAACGAGAAACCAAAAATGTATTCCTTTTGCTCTTTTATGCGATAGTCAAACAGGGAGGAGAGCAAGCATGGTAACAGTCAAAGCGACATAGCCTGACTCTCTCGTTGGAACGGATAGTATTATCCAGTTTGTCGTTGAGACGATTTAGGTGTTCCAATCTTTGGCGTTCTTTCTCAGGCAGCTCCACTGGTTAAACTTTCATCTGCATTGAGATTGTTGCCTTAGCTAATGTTTCCTTTGCTCTGGTCTAGCTTTCCTCTGGCGGACCTGCCTTCTTTTCTTCACCCAAGGTAACGCGTAGGTGAGTGACAAAGTTGAGTTTCAATCCTTTAGTGTCAAGGGTTATGCGCACTCGGCTCGTTGCAGAGGCCGTCAAAATTGAACGCACTGGTATCAGACTTGCAGTAGTGTGTAGGCTCCATGTTGGACCTGGTACCACTCTCATCTCTGATGTACATAGAGGTGTAGTGGTTAACGGCCTTATGGATTCTCTAGTGAACAGAGAAAATTACCAATGTAAGCCAGATACAAAGTCACAAGGAGAAAAATCTAAGTAGATCTTGAATCACAGTTCAAAATAGGAGGTTCCGTATTTCCGTATTCCGTTGAACCACCACAGCAAGAATAGTTCTATCTTCCTGGTATTCCAGGTCTCCGGTAATCGAAATATTAATCCACAAGTGTGAATATATTAGTCCAGTGTTTGTAGCTGAAATGTTTGTTCACGTTTAGTGTTAGCAGCGGTCAATTATAGCCAACCGGCAGTCGCAAAAACAGTCACTCAGCAAAGGTCTCCAAGTCACGTTGGAGCCAACAAGCGGGCGGTAGCGGTTGTATTTCAGTAAAACGAACTTTTGTACAGCGATGTGACTGATAATGATGGGGTAAAAGAAGATGATACTGAGCATGAAAAAGAGCAGTTCACAAGTGCTATAAAACTCCCCCCTAGATCGTCAAATGGGCGAGCAAGACGCTCGAAAAAGAAATGCGTCACGACATTTAGTCTCTGAAAGAAACAGGAAGCTTGTACTGTCGACCAGATCTTGTGAGTGAAGGAGTGTGTGTGGTATTGGTGGTGGCACTGTTTGAAGGAGGGATCGTGGGACTGTGTGGTTGTGTAACGGGAGGGTCGTAGTATGCTCATCATCAGAGGTTGTGTGCATGTAAGCAACATTTAGTCGATCGATGCCAACAGTGTCTTTGCGGCCGGTACGATCAATGACAAAAGTATTGTCTTTCCGAGAAATAACTCTCAAAGGACCTTCGTATGGTGGTTGTAAGGGCTTTCTGACCGCATCGATGCGCACAAAAACATAGTCACATGTAACAAGGTCGGGATATACCTGGGTAGTTTGTCGAGTAGGTGAAGGACGGATATCATGCATGTGCTGGCGAAGCCGGGAATCGTAGGAATTAGGGTCCGTTTCACCAGCTGTTGCCGAGTCGACTAATATTTC